TATCAATCGTCGAGATAGTTTGAACCCACATTTTTCTCATTCCGGAAAGGACCTCCGCACGAAAAATATTTGTCTTCCTTCAGTCGTTGTGCGGATAATGTACATTATTTTCATTGTTTGAGTATGGCCTACAGCTTTACCTCACCATAACGTTACGCTGTACAAAATCACTTCTTCCTTTCTTGTTAAGCTTCTTTTGCACCCCATGGAAACTTCCTCTCCGCCATGCGTAACGTAATTTATGGACAGCCTCCTAATGCGCAGATATTACAATTGCAAGCTCATTTCTCAGAGAGCATGCTCTAATCTGTGCATATGAATCCTGACGAGTACAAGTTTTAGTTTGGAGTACTTATGCCTTCGGCAGTTCGTTATGATAATCCGTTAATGTAATCATAATAATCGTTCATAATAATAGTATTTCAATAAACAGGAGGCACAAGTTAAGTGGCGCTATGAAGCAAATATAGGTGATATTGCAAAAATTCAATGTCGTTTAGCGAGTACCTTCCGGCACATTGGCTGTCGATTATGACCATCATAAGAACTCCCAGCTGATAACAGAAGCCCCGAGGCCTTTCTTACTCGCATCAAAATAAAATATTTCCAAATTACTACTGTGTTCTGTAACTAGTTTTTCTGCAGAATTCGTGATCTGGAAAGCGGCCGCTGGCCAAGCGCAAATGTAAACAAATGAACACCTGGCGTCAGTTGATTTAGCTTTCATTGTTTCATACTCATCTCGATTACAGGTATCATCCTTACGCTGTGCTCATACATGATGGCAGGGAGCCCCTCAAACTGACAACTTGTATAAGGTCAACGCTGTCAAGATATTGTGGCATGAAAGGTCGGACGCTCTAAGACAGGAGCGGGTGTGTAAGACAGACAAGCTCAGGTGACTCAACAACACGTTTCCAACGTGGTGACGGCTATGACTTCAATACTCGTATTGAAGGAACAGCATCAAAAGGAGCTATCTGAAACGACTGGTGTGCAACCACAAAGACAGGTGACTCAATGTATGGAGTTAAGATGGGAATCTGAAGCCTACGGAAAACGAGTGGGAATGTGCTGAATGTCGAAAGTTGAAAGATGGAAGAGGATCACGATGAACGAGCCGTCGCTTTTATTCCAAGTTAGATATCAAAACAAAGCAGGGACATGCCAAAGCAAGGCAGCAAAATATGAGCCCCACGCTCCGGTTTAACTGTACGAAAACGCTGCCGCCGGGATTGGACTGACGAATATGTGCAGTGCCCGGGTCCGCCAAGGTAAACTACGCGCCATGACGCGACGCATGGGGCCACGTGCAGAACGAAGTTCATCCCCTTGAAAATATTAACGGATACTGCACAAATGACTTGACACAACGGCAACAGACACCTGGCAAGACTTGTCGCATCACATCATGATCAGCCCAGAGGATTACAAGAGCTAATTATTAAGACGACAGTGACAGTACCCACCAGTTTCGTCATTATCGAGACATGTGACAATGCACACCAGTTTCACAACTGGAAATGCTCACAGCTTGCATCCCGGGCCAACTCTGCGGAGCGCTGCAGAATGTTTGTCTGTGTGCACGAGGATGGCTTGAGGATGGGAGACGAACGAAAGCAATGGGCACATTGCGAGGAAGTAGACGGACACGCCCGGAACGCAGTACAGTTAATTCGGGGAGTGTATTTAACTGTAAAGAAGCTCCTCAATTGCTTTAATTTTAACCTTTATATTCGGCGTTGATTTGGGTTACTGCAATAATACCGCAAGGTAAATGGAAACCAATTATTGACACACGCAAAGGCCGCAGTTACTCCTGACATGTCTCCACCACGACAGGTAACATATCGATCTTCTTGGAAATATTATCCTTGAAACGAGGACGTTCAACTTGCACCCATCCGCTACGAGCAGCACAGTCGCACGTCCGGCAGCTACGGCAACCCAGCCACGCTTCTGCCAGCCTTCTGCCAGACCCACGAGCTCAGCCACGGTGCCGCCTGTTACAGGGCAGCAAAGAAGTCCGCTTGGCTAAAAAAGACATGTATTGCATTCATGTCATAAAAATTGCCATCAGCTCTTTCGCCAGTCCCCGCATGACCAGCGATCGCTCTGAAAAGATATCGGAATAAAAAAGATCTGTACACGGTGTCTTTTCGTTTCCTATTCTCATTTGATTTCATGGTAACATTACGTACGTCGAGCGGAGGCATACGGAAGACGACTCGGCAGGTGGTAGGTACAAGCACTGGCGATATTTAGACTACTTTGGACGCGCCGCACCATAATTTGTGTAACACAAGAAGACCCGAAGGCGGATGAAATCTAGCGTCATAAGCTGACCGCGTGCCACGCCAGCCCACAGCGCCGGTGCCTCCCTCTATTGAGCTCGCCGAGTCTACAAGTTCATGTCGATGCCACCAAAGCAAACACATCGCGCTGACGCCGCCGCGAATTTTGCACACCGTCGGTGGCGGCCACGCTTCACGCGAGTCCGGGCGCGCCAAGAGCGCCGTCGCGGCTGTGCGCCAGTCCGCCAGTGGCCCTCCGCCGGCGCCGTCGGCCGGCGCACAACCTCCGCACACACGGCAGGGCCGGCGAGATCGGCACGTCCCAGTGGGAGCCCGCCGCGCCGCCGGCCGCGCGGCGCGGCGGCCCCATCACTGCCGTCGCCGGTAGGTCCGTGTATCACAAATTTTCCAGGAGTAGGGATACCGCCCTGGAACGGAGGAAAACACGCTGACAGAAAAGGAGAGGTTTTAAACATTGCGGCAAGTGGCCGCGGCGGGCCCGGTCTGCAACACAATTTTATTTGGCATCTGGCCTCATAATAACAGCGCACAGCCCGGCAGCTCTGCAAGTCATTGGCAAAACTGCGTGATATGAAGTCGACACAGGGCCGCGAGTTCACGCGACGAAATCTAGATCCATACCACCCACCTTTAAAGAGACGAATGCCTGCTAGTTTAATGGATGACAACGGCCATACCATTTGGTGTATCATGATGTCTAGCATTCCTCTTGACTTCTCCTTACGCACCGCGACACTTTCTTCTTGAAGTTCGGGAAATCCTCTCGCCATTCCTTCTGCAAACAAAAACGGGATGGTTCATAAATTAAGCTAGGAAAATGTTACTTACAAAGCCACGGTTGTATCATTGGTGATCAAAGAAGACATTTATTTCCTTGGACGATACGCTGGTCTCCGGAAATAGTAACGTTCAAACACAGGGCCAACCTAACTTCGAACAGCAACACTTTTCGTGCATCACCATATAGTTATGCTGTCGTTTATTGGTGTTTTCGAGCGCGTCGACTGCAATGGTCATTTTGCGCCCATTACCATATGGTTAACATTTAACTTTCATACAGGGTGGAGAGGGCCTAAGTCTCCTCCCCACCGTTTCCGCGGCCACGGTTTGTCACAAGTTAGCGCAAGCTCGACACAACGCACACCACTGAGAAACACCACAAACGCACACCGCGCCAGTTCTGTTCTGGCTGCCATCACGGGCTACCGTTCATGGTGGCTAGTACGTGTCCAACGCCGAACGGCTCTGGTCTTTACGTAGCCACTGGACGGCATCCCTCTCCCATGCCGCTTGGAGCTCTCCTCCGTCTGGATGCTTGCATCGACCGCCAGCATGCATTTGAAAGCCTCCCTGTGCTGCAATGCATTCAGTATCATAGCTTCATCCTCCTGCTAATATTGTACTCTCCGCGCCTTCTCAGGTGGTCACGTCAGGTGAGGTCGTTATTCTTCTTCAGAAGAGGTTACCGGCAACAAACCTCTTCTGTTTGCCAGGATGTCCTTTAGGTTTGCCCGGATGAGTAATGCCTTGCTTTCTGTATTCCACTGGAAGCTCAGTGTTCTCAGCGCAAAACAACAGGTATCAAAATAGCCCAGGTGCTCAGGTTCCAGGAGTGAACATTTCTTTCTACAGCAATCGCCTGAATGATCCTGACGCTGTTAGACACCAACCCTGGCCTTGGTCTGACTGGCGTTGGTCTGACGCCAACACCGGCAGTCACTCACTGGGTACGCACATGCAACACTAAGGAATGAGTCGCACGAAGCAGCGCTTGCTCTAATGTTGTGGCTACCACGTGCTTTTTGAAACGAGGTTGTCTCTTAAAGTAGGTGTCTGGCCGACGGTAGCAGTCAGCTTTTGAACAAGCACACTAAAATCTGCTGCATGCAAACCCGGGCCATGTTCTTGTCCTCGCCGCTTGATAAACGTGCAGCGCGTTCAACGGCAACAAACGGAACCTGGCTCGTCTGAGTTCGCGACCCAGCAGCGCCCTGCTTCAGGCGCGCAAGTGTGTCAGCCAATAGGTGTTTATACTCGACGGCTCCACAGCCGGCCTCGTCGAGGTCGCACGAGGAGACATGACGCCTGTCCGCAAACGCCCAGACACACAAAGACAGCCGGAGGCCAGTGCGTAACATGACGCAGCAGCGCCTCGGCGACGTCCATTGTTTGCTGCGCCACCGCTTCAGTCAGTCGGGCGATTCATCGGCCCTCGCTGCGGGGCGACCATCGGTCAACAGAGGGGTGGGTGGGCCGGTGGGGACAGCCGTGCAAGCATTAAGCGTCGGGCGTGGAGTCGCGTGGGCCACAGGCACCTATGAATCACGACCGGCGTCGGCGCTCCGACCCCGGCCGTGCCGTTCAGCACTCCTAAAGAGGCGCATCGAGTCGGGCCGCCTATCGACGATCTGACGGCGATGAGGGACCTGCTCTGGGACGACCTGCTGGCACCCCGGCACGCTTCCACGGCCGGAATGCGAGCGCTCTCCCTCCCGGCTTGGCGATTTCGAGTCGCCCCTGGCGCCAGGTAACAGTGTCCGACCACACCCGGCTTTGGGTGTCGGTCACGGTCAGCCCCGCCCGCCGTCGTTCCTGTGACGTCACACCGGGAGTCCTGACGTGCGACGAACCGTCCGGCGTCGCCTGTCCAGTGACGTCCCAGTCGGTGGCCGGGGGCGAGGGGGACAAGTCCCGCAGCGGCCGCCGCCCGGACGTGGTGGTCGGGCTTCCCTGGGACAGCCCGGAGGGGCGCCGGCGGAGCCCGTGCTCATGCTCCGGGGGTGGCCAGTGTTCGTGAGATGGTGATGCCGCGCTCACCGTTCCCGGGGGAGGAACCCCTGGCGACGCCACGGCTCACTCCGATTGCGCACACAGCAGGTGAGGGAGCAGTTGCGGCGCGCGCTGTTGTCGACAACATGTCTCCGAGACCGTGATAAGCCTGCGTTCGGCGAAGTTCATGAAGGAAAATGTGTATCGTCCCTGCAACGCAGCCAAAATGAGTATAGGTGCAGGATAGTTGGGAATTCCAGGAAACCAACGGCACGGAGGGCAGTCCGGTCTCTCACTCCCTCTTCGGACAGCTTATCTCCACGGCTGATGGCCCATTGACGGCATGCCATTGGGGTCCAACATGTCGAGATTCTCAAGGCCCGTTTCCCCACATGCACCCACGAGGACATCCCTCCAAAGCTTAAGTTTTACGGAGAACGATTGAGACGAGGCTTTCGTAGCATGGATAGTTGTTCCAACTATCGTGCTCGTCCAGTCAGCTGCTATGTACACATCGTTTTGGCCCGTTCATTCTCAGGCCGTCGTCAGGTCCTGGAAAGGAGTGAGTAGCGCTGAGGTTTCATGCATGTACGCGTCGCAAGCCCAATTTTCTCCTTGCGTTTGCTGGGATTCGAGCCAGGGTCTTCATGTTACGATTCCAGCATTGAGCTAACCGGCAAAGGAAATCTCTCGGTGCTGGAATATCCTTAAATCAACCTCGTGGAAGGATTAGGAGGCATATAAGGCTGACTGTCCGTGTTCTTGCTGCCTCCCTGATTTCATAGCTTTGCAGCATTGCTCTCTATCCATTATGGCGTCTCATCCCATGCTGGTTGGTGGTTGCCTTCCGATCCTGCATACTTTGCCACGCCAGACCTCAGCGTTTCATTCCGAATGGTTGCCTTTCCGTGTTTTTCCTGTTGACCGACAGCGAGCGACTTGTTTCCAAACAGCTGAACGCCATGTCGCACATGCAGCCCTCAGTAAAATCCCAAGATGTCGGTAGGCTGATTTGGTAAGTGCTGTCTGGAGCGTTTAGCAACTTCTGAAGACTGTCCTGATGTTACATCGTCTAGAACTTCTCCTGATTTCATCTGACAAGCCTTCGTAAACACATGGTACCGTTGCTTTTTTATTTTTGCTGCCCTCCTTCAGCAAGTTCAGCAAGTTTTTGGGCTCCTGGTCTATGAAGCAGCAGGGGGACCTGTCCCTGAAGAACGTCTGGGTTAGGTGGTATACTCAAATCTTCCCAACTGTGCCATCAAAGCTAATGATATTTGTACAATGGAGGTATTCCACGACACCTCTTCGCAAAGTGTTCGGCTGGTTTGACTAGCTACAAGCTATGACAGCATGTCCGCCGACTAGGTCAGGGCACATGGGCTCCCAGGTCCGGGGATCGCCGGCGGCCAGAGCAGCATCGCAGGTCAAGATCAGCGCGGGCTGCTCTTGACCGTGCAGCCGGACGACCGCTTGTAAGACCACGGCTACCTCCTATCAGACTACCGCCAGACCTGCCGCCGAGACGCTCGGCGACCTTGTGTTCCGCTGGTCTGGATCGACCCTCAGTCGAGGCGCAGCTGCTGGCGGCGTCCGCTGACGCAGCGCCACTCGCGGATACGCGCACCAAAGTTCCTTCCAGGAGCCTCCGAGGAGCCGCGTTCGGACGGACCTTCCTGTCGGCGACGCTGCCGATTACGTGCGTATTTGCTGCGCGGTGTCTTGGGTCATTAACAAGGTAACCCGTGCTGCAGACGCCGCCATGCCGACGCTGACGCCGCTGACATCGCCGACACCGCTGACGCCGTTGGCGGCCGACCTATCGGAGGACGAAGACGTACTGCAGGCACTGCCACATGGTCAGCTATCCAGCCAGCTCCTGTCGCGCCAGATGGACCAGATTGTGCGCCGCTCCGTCAGCCGCAAGGACGAAATCAAGCGTGAAACGCCAGCGGCCGGCACCAGTCAGCAGCAGCGCCTCTTCAACGCCTGCCTCACGGGCGACACGCAGCTGGCGACCGCCGCACTCGACGCCGGCGCCGACCCCAACGCCGACATGCGCGCCGTGTCCAAGACATCACGGAAGCGAACGCGCCTGGACGGCGACAGTAGACAGCCGCACGCGCGCCTGCGCTCGCCACGAGGTCAGCAGACATTGCCCAGCCTGCTGCGGCCCAATATCCTGCTTCACCTGGTGGCGTCGCTGGGCGACTACGACATGCTCGACCTGCTGCTGCAGCGCGACGCCGACCCAGCTATGTCCGACGCAGTCGGCGACACGGCGCTTCATGTGGTCAGTCGTGTGCACCACCCAATCGACGTGACCATCGAGCTCGTGCGGCTGCTGCGCGAGGCCGACGCGCCGCTGGAGGCGACGAACATGGCTGGCCTGACGCCGCTGCATCAGGCGGCCGCTGCCGGCAATACGGCCGCTCTACTCACCCTGGCCGAACTGGGTGCCCGCTGCGCCTGCCAGAACGCACGCGGCAACACGCTGCTGCACGCAGCCGTCGCTTCGGGCTGCGCCAGCACCGTGTCGGCGGCGCTCGACCGGCTGCCGGCCGCGGCGCTGCACCAACCTAACAAGGCCGGTCGCACGCCGTTGCAGCTGGCCACGAACCGCGAGACTGTGCGACTGCTGTTGGTGGCCGGGGCGCGTGGAGACGAGCCCACCACACTGACGCTGCTGCAGAACGTGCCTTCGGCCGTACCAGACGTGCTCGAGCACTACATGACCACCAACAATCGGCCGCTGGACGGCTCCGAGCTCGAGGTGTACTTGGACTACATGCCGTTCTGGGACGCCGCGCGCCAACAGCCGGCGCCCGAGACAGGCGTACTCCGAGCCATCGTCGACGCCGACCAGGACGAACTGCTCAAACACCCTCTGGTCGAGACGTTCCTGCACATCAAGTGGTTGCAGGTCCGTCGCTTCTTCATCTTCAGCTTCGCGTTCTACGTGTGCTTCGCGCTGCTAGTGACGGGCTACGGAATGATGTGTGTTATGCAACCGTACGCGGCAGCGACGAAGGTGCTGGCCTGCATCTCCGGTACCCTCACCATCGCCGCCACCATCCGCGAGATATTCCAGCTGCTGTACAGCTGGCGGCTGTACGTAGGCAGCGTTGAGAACTGGCTGGAGGTGGTGATCATTGCACTCAACTCGGCACTGCTCATCGGCCGTAACTCTTACGGCGGTTGGGTCCACCATGTCGTCGCCTGGCTCATTCTGACCGCCTGGATGGAGCTGACACTTATGGTGGGCCGCTTCCCCAGCATCGGCATATACATACATATGTTTATCCGCGTCGCTCAGAACCTGGTCGGCTTTCTTCTCGTCTACTCGCCGCTACTGGTGGCGTTCGCACTCAGTTTCCAGGTGCTGTTTGGCGACAAAGCCGCTTTCCAAACCATCCCAGTGGCGCTCATCAAGACGTTCGTCATGATGATGGGGGAGTACGAATATGACGGCATGTTCACCAGCAACAACGCGCTTCTCTACCCTGGTACGGCTCACCTCATCCTTATCCTGTTCATCGTCAGCATGTCGATCATCACCGTCAACCTGCTGATCGGTCTCACTGTCAACGACATCCAGGGCCTGTTCAAGACGGCCGGCGTACAACGACTACGCATGACTGTCATCCAGATCCTCTTCATCGAGTCGGTCATCTACTCCAAAGTCCTGCATACGGTGCTTCGCTCGCGCATCTGTCGGCGCATGCAGGCCAAAGTAACGCTGCTGCCGAAGCTGTTGTTGCGCCAGGTGGACAAGCGCCTGTCGGGCCAGCCGGCAGCGGACACCACCTGCACGCCGGCAGACAAGACCGAGAACGGTAACGGCAACGGCGAAGCCGACGACGGCGAGCGTATCCTGCGCGCCACCTTCCGCCCCAACGCCAAGGGTCGCGCGCGGCTGTACCGAACGACCGAGACGGGCGAACTGCGCCCGTCTCGATACACCATGCACGACTGGATGCAGCGCAACATGCTGGCGCTGTTGCGCGGCCGCGCGGCCGACGCCGACCGCGAGACCCGCGAACAGCTGCTGCAGGCCGAGATACTGGCGTCTGTGCGCGCCAAGACCGGCGAGCTCGGCCCGCTCTACGAGGTGCCTGAGGCGGAGCTAGGGCCGGACAGCGCGCCCGCCTCCGACCGCCAGACATCAGCCGTCCGTAACGTCAACGGAGACCGGGACGAGCAGACTGAGCCAGAGGGCGCCGGTCGCAGCAGGAGCGGCGGTCGCATTCGCCGCAAGAACGCTCTGGCCAGCCGCGACTCGCTGGAGGAGCTCGGCCAGAAGCTGGACACGGTGCTGGCCACCGTGGCCGAGGTGTCGCTCAAGATGGGTATCATCGAGCGTCGCCTCAACCTGACCAGCCCGCCGCGGCTCGACACATTTTACTCGGTTTGAGCGCTGCTGGCTGTCTCGCCCCCCCCCCCCCCCCTTCCCCGAGCTCCGACCCAGCCCGGGGTCACAGAGGACCAGGCTGGGACGGCAGCTGCACGGCAGAGCTGCACCACTAGCCAGTTCCTCAGGCGAGGGACGGCAGGCCGAACGAAGTGAGCGAGATCGGCACACAGGACTGAGCGTGATAGACGCCATGAACATGGTGTAGTTTCATGAAGAAGAGGCCATATCGAGCGTGAAATGCGTACATTGATGTGTGGTGTTGTACTGCTTCCGTGTGCCGAGCCGCTCAGTTAAGAGGTTTTTGTGCCCTTGACGACGGAGGTGGTTTCGAACCAGTACCCGTTTCATAGCCGCCCGGTTCACCATACGATGCATGACTCAAACGCATGGCTCAAAACGCGTTGTGTAAGAGAGAAAGTTGCATTAAGTAGGTATGACACGTCTCAGTAAGATATGTATCAGTAAGCTGTTCAAAACACTACGCACCATAGCGTGATCGAATACTATGCTGGTGCAACGGCTGAAAGATGGCTCAACAATGCTGGTTTTTCCCTGCATATTGGTCGGGATGAGAAATCATTGCGATACGCGGCAATACGTCCGTACAGCTGTGGTACAACGAAGGCTACAGCTGATGTACGGCACTCGCAACGTGCCTTTATTACGCAAAACACCGATCCGAAGTTGCTTTACAATCGCGCCGGTTAAATGCGATACGTTCGAGCAACGCATAGACGGACCAATGTGTGCAGGCGATGTTGAATGACACAGCTGCTGTGTGTCCAATGATAAACTATTTCATCCTAACGGGTCCATACGTTCAAAGGGAGCCCTTCGCGACCGTAGCGCGGCAGACAGCCGCTTCAGCCGCCGTCGGGGCAGCTGCGGTGGGCCGTCGCCGCCGCACCACACCGCACGTCCGCCGTTCGTGGCCGGGCGACGTGGTCCCCTCGTGACGTGGACAGGCCCGCCGCGCCGCGGCCTTGGAGCAGCGCGATGAATAACTCGGGCTGGGCCGTTATCGGCCTGGCCGGCAGCGCGGTAACGAAGCAACGACACAACAGCGGCGGCGGCGGCGCTGCTCGCCCGCTAGGCTGGGCCGGGCAGCCGGAGGCGCCCGCCCACTGTACGCCGCCGCGGGACAGGGGCCACGGGCGGCACAGGCGGGAGGGGCCCACCGGCAAACGTCTGGGGACGTGGCCAGCCGTGACCAGCGACGCTGAAGGCCTCAGAACTGTACTGACAAACCGCGAGAGATCAAAGCTCCATTTTCGATGGGCCTCTGTGCAGCGGGACACCGATCCCACCTGAGCAAACTATTAATATACTATTACAATAGTATACATTATATATACTACTAAACATACCAACTTCTGATACGGAGACATTTACAAAATTTAACAGGGTGTCCTGAAATTGATCAACCTCTAGCTGGTACTTATTCACCTTTCTCGCAGTATCACAAGGCCTAGGAAACTTTGGCAGGACCCCGCCCCCGGGCAATATCACGCATCCGTTAGTTCAGTGACCCTGCCGGATGACATGACCCGGGCCACGATGGGGGCGACGGAGACCACTTCCACGAGGTACCCCGAGCGCGCAAGCCCAGTGTCAGCCGTGGCCAAAGCGCGCCTGTTGTCGACCTGCTGCCGCGCGGCTGGTGTATCGGGCGGAGATATGACCTGAGGTTAGGTCGCCGACAACCTGTTGTTAGCGTAACATTAGTAACACCGAATGTTGGGTTTTTCGCGGCCGTAAGGAACAGCTCCTGGAAAACAGTACCGGTCCCGGGAGAAGGAGTTCGGTGAACATGGTAACCCACATCATTATCGCAAAGTCCCCCTAAAAATTGGTCATTTTACAAGAAAACCGTCCCACAGGCTGATGACAAAGCAGGACCAGATGTCGAAGTTGGTGGTGCAGGTATTTGAAAACGTGTCTACACCTGAAGCCACTCAAACCGCACCGGCAGCCAAAATCCAGGGGCCAGCAAACCCCAAAAACCTATAGAACGCGCTTTGTCGTTGAAAACCGCAAGCATACACAGAGTGCCTATCAAATAAAAGTTGCTACCCGAATACAGTCGCGCAAAAAAACGTCAAACTTGTGTGAGGGGTGCGAGGAAGTTAAAGGACATTGCAAGCATCTTATCTTGCAGCCGGCCTGTGACATTTCCTTCGAAGTTGGCACATCCAATCACCGACCGATGCCCCTCAGACTGAATGAAGAAACCCTAAGGGCCTTTAAAAAATGGGAAATCCAAATGCACTCAAAAACCTACATGACGATGTGGGTGTGCGGTTTTTTTTACCTATTAGACTAAAACCAACCTGAACCTGATGGCCAATGGCATTCTTTTGGCACACTGGTGGGTATCGATCGATGGTCCGACGTGCTCATCGGTTAGAAAAAAATGGGCCCAATCAGTCCCATTGTTAGAAGTAACGTGAGCCTAGCTTTACAGGCATTGGGCATGTCAAAAACCTTTTTGGAAAAAATGTCGATGTTTTTTCCCATGTGAAAGATAACTCTCCTTCGGACCCTTCCTTAGCGTTGCAATAGTTGGATAGCTTATTTTGGAATGCTACTTTTTAACGGATTACGAAGGACATAATGTGCGTCACTTTTTGGTGTGTGCAATCCCTCTAAACTGAACCAAACTTCCTGAAGTGGAAATAATTGTCATCGAGTTGGCGGCAAATACGGCGAAACGGTGGATCCCACCCAAAGTAACGACACTCTCCAGCTAGCTAAATGCTCCCAAGCCTGGATATATTCAGCCCTGGCGCAGATGAGGCTTAACGTGCTCAGAACGTAGCAAAACCTTTGTCCGGACTTGTGATCCGTCCATAATGTTGCCAATTACTCCGCATGACTACCACGGACCGAGCTCCCAGCCGAGCGTGCTTAGCGGAGCAGCAGGGAAAACTTGATAATAAAAACTTCTTCTAAACTTCTGATGACATTCTTAATATGATATTATATATATATATATATATATATATATATATATATATATATACTTACATAATACAACATGACATATGAATATTCTTAATATGATATGAAATTCTAATGATATTCTTAATAATGATATTCTTAATAATGATATTCTTAATAATGATATTCTTCTACTGACCATAGCCTAATCCAGTACGCAATCAAGGCAGAACAAAAAGCGATTTGGTGAAGATTCTGGCATTATTATCTTGATTTAAAGTGCTCCGACGGAAAATAATTAAGGCGCTGTGTATGACACAGTAACCTAAAGCAGGAGTCGGCAAGGGCCACTTTAATGCCACCAACTGCCATTGGAGTAAGTGATTTACTCACTGTCAGATGTGCGACCGACAGGCCGCATCACCACATACTCTGGTACATCTTGTGCTTCTGCTTAACAAAACCGGCCAAGCCCGAGCGAGAGCCAAACGGAATTTGTGAAGCTCTTGCGGTTCAAACCATCTGGAACGGATCCAGTATTGACGCCGACAGTACCGAAATGATCCATGGTCCTGTTGTGCTTTGTCCGCACATGCATGACCGTGTGATGCACTGTCCCAGCTGACTATGTGAGCTTCGGCCAGACAGTGCCCGCTAAGTCCGGTAAGGTAAGCACTTCTCCGGCATGAAAGCGCGACTTCAGAGCCATCCACACATCCAGTCAGTAAGAGGCGGGGTAGCGACGAGGCTAATCGTGGTTTATCCCCGGAGCTGGAGCTCGCCCCCTCCGATATGGGGTTGACGGGGTTTGAGCGGAAGCTTATGCGAGATACACCCCGGGCGGCGGAAATGCCGACTCGTGGCCAACACTCGCAGCATATTCCAATGCGTTGGCAGGATAGCACGGAGAGCGAGGGTGGATGAAGCTGTGCTACCGCCCAGACGAAATCCATGGTCCCATCAGGGAAAGTGTTAGCCCCAGCACGCACGCCGGCTTTTCGAGGCTCTGCGGACTCTGGTGACCGGCCAGAGGCGGCTCGAACCTCGCAAAGCCCGGGGAGATCTGCCGACCCCGTCCCCAGGACCGTGCGACAGCGGCGCCGCCACGCCGAGCGGCAGCAAACTTCGCATTGTCGTTCCGTCCACCAGAGGGACCACAGGCGGGCCGGTGCACGGCCAGCGTCGCTGCGGGACCCGACAAGGCCGCCCGAAGCCCGACTCACCGCCGCGTCCACATTGGCCGGACTCTCGTCGTTGGGGTCGGCCAGCATGGAGATGACCGAGATGAGGATCGTCTCCACCGTGTGCACGGGCAGCCACCGCTCCGACGCCTGCTCGTAGCCGTACTTATCGTCGCCGGGCTCGTGCAGGATAGAGATGCACACGTCACCGTTCTTCTCGACTGGCGACAACCGGGCCTGAGTCAGGTCACCACTCCATGGTGGGAGGCACATGGTGCAGCCACTATCCCCGCATGGATAGTTAGGCACTAAACACAGATGGCTATGACTGTGCCTGCTGACCCTTGGTGTTTTTTTCCCACGTCGCCACTAAATAAAAACCGACAGGTTTATAGTTAAAATGGAAGTCTCCTGCAGTACGGGAAATGTACGATTTTACTTCAAAACGCAAAAAATAAAAGGATTTGCCAATATCTGGCAGCTGTTGGCTCAAAACATTCAAATGCCAACAGTTTTATGAGCATGATTGAAAAAACAGCCATAAACTGGCCATAAAACAAACATTCAAAGGAAGGTGGATTGATAGCATGGTTACATCTAACTACACTTTTCCATTATGGGCAAATTTGCAACATATTATATTTATTCCATTTTCTAAGACACTTACTGTTTGGATGCCATACATCAGTGATGAACCTCATTTTTGGTGGTCGATGAGGATACTCCTTTGGAAAGTACAGGTGAGCCTTGAAAAACCCTCCTTCACTGCAAGAGACATTGCTTTTTAGTGACAGTACAAAGACAATTTTCATTTGTTATGCAAAGCTACATTCAACTTTCACAAAAAAACATTTAAGCCTAGAGTTGTCCAAATTTCTTTACTAAGTGTGACAGCCCCTGGATTAAAGCTGACACCAACTGCTCTCTCAATCTAACAGTAGCATCAATAATTCCAGCAAAAATCAAAAACCTTGGTCGATCCCCCTGCAGTATTACTAATCTGACATCTGTCATGTGGCTGATGACATCATAACAGGTCAAGTAACATCCCACCAAGATAGTCAAGTTAGGAATATGACAGCTTTTCAGGGACTTTCAAAGGCCTCTTTCACTTAACACACATCTTATACAGCTTTATCAATGACAACCACCTAAAATAGTTTATTATCTCTCTTTATAATACTGCAATATAGAGAAGTCAAGGGTCAAAGTCAGGGCATGCCATGGCAGTCATGTCAAAGTTGAGGCACCTCGCTCACACTTTTCTGCTCTTTGAGCCCACAGATCTTCAACAACAGCAAAATAAGACAGAAAGTGGAGCACTGCTGCCTGTTAAAGCAATTTGGTCCAATCCCTCACTGGTGGTAACATCATGGCCTGACCTAAGCCAGCATCAACAGCTTGCTCCCTCCTAAATGCATCACACTGATTTCCTGAATGTTGCTGAAAATATTGTACACTACCTATCACAATTTAAAAGATACAAAGAATTGCGGAGAGATTACCTCCAGGTATTTATAGGCTGACTGATGTTACAAGGATATTCCATCAAATATGATGAACATAGCTGTTGCTGGTAATCACTTATTTACAAAAAAAATGTAAATGAGAATGCATATCAGGCACTGCTATGAAC